CCTCCTCTGCCCCTGATCCTTTCACCTCACCCAACTCCTGCCCCACTCCTAGATGGATTCCCCCACTCCTCAGGGCCCCCTGTAGAGGCCCCTGCTGAGCTGGCTCCTTTCTGGTCACCTGGGGACCCATGCCCTCTTGCCCCAGGGACCCCTTCCTGTGCCAAGCAGACTGGGCTGTATGTGAGCAGACCCCTGTCAGAGCCCAGCCCCCACCTCACACCCTGTCCCAGCTTCTGCCACGGCTTCAGTCAGGGCCAGGAGAAACATGTCGAGAAGAAAGAGATGCAGGAGCCATGGGGCTCCCAGTTCCTTGGAAAGAGGGTGCCCTTGGACCTGTGATACTGGATGAGCCAATAAACCAAACTCTGGCACCTCATTTCCTTTGGCCTCCGTGGTTTGCTTGTTTGTTTATTTGTTTTACGTTTCCTATAGGGTCATGTACTCTCCTGGGGAGAAAGGGAGGGAAAGTGAGAAATCACCCCAGGGCGATGGCCACGCCATCTCCTCTGTTCTCCTCTCAGGATTTTGGGCATGCACCCGGTGTGTTTTCAAGCCAGTGGGTCCAGAACTTGGACCATGCAGTTAACATGTGGATCCAGCTGCCGAAACCACCACACCACCGGCTGGCCTCTTGGCCTCCATGCTTAGTTCTTACCCCCAAACCCAAGTCCGCAGGTGGGAAGGACCTCAAGTGGGAAGCAGGGCACAGCTGTTGGGGGCGGAGGGAGGTCAAGCTGAACCACAGGGTCTGACCTGCAAGTAAGAGATGGGCTTAGGGATCCAGCAGGTGGTGTGGTGGTTAAGGTGCTGGACTCCCATGTAGTTCAAGTCCTGGACCCACCGGCTTGAAATTCACACTATGTGCGTGCGTGCCCAAAATCCCAAGAGGAGAATGGAGGAGAAAGGATTGCAATGTGTCCATTCCTCTTAGGGAGGTTATTTCTCGCTTTCTGTCTCGCTGTCTTTTTGTGTCTCTCCTGCGAGCACACATTCCCTATAGCAAAAAACACTCTCTAAAAGGACCAGCAGATGGCATAATGGTTATGTCGCTGGACTCCCGTGTAATTGACCACGGGTCAAGTCCTGGACCTGGCAGCTTAAAACTTACACCAGACACATATATGTGTGTATTGCCAAAAATCCCAGAGGAGAAACGAGAAAGGATTGTGATGAGGCCATCCCCCCTGATTTCACGCTTTCTGTCTCTGTCTCTGTCTCCCTGGTGATCACGCATGCCCTATAGCAACACACACACACACACACACACACAAACAAACAAAAATACTAAGGGGCCAGCAGGTGGTGTGATCAATGTGCTGGATTCCCACATGGTCATGCATGGTTTGAGTCCCAGACCTGGCAGTTTGAAAATCACGCTGGGCACATATGTGCTCAGCATGGCACCAGGTAAGGAAAGGAATGAATCCAGAACTGCTCAGCTAGGTCAAAGGAGAAGGAGGGAGGCTGCAGGGCCTGCTGTCTGAGCCCTTGGAGGTAGGGCCAAGGCCACCAGGGGACAGGAAGCGTAACTAGCTGACCCTGGGGGACCAGCAGGTGGTGTGGTGGTTAAGGTGCTAGACACTCCCACATGGCCAACCAAGGTTAGTGTCCTGGACCTAGTGGCTTGCTTTCTCACTTTTCCTCTCTCTCACTCTGTCTGTCTCTCTAGTCAAGTTAAAAAAAAAAAAAAAAGAATAAATAAAATTAAATAATTCTTAAAAAAAAACAAAAAAAAAAAACTAGCTGACCCTGAAGTCAGAACCCAGGAGAAGAGCAAGGATGGAGAAGAGCAGAAGCAGCAAAGGACGAGAATAACAAAGGAGCAGAGTGGACAGGGAGGGCGAAGGGAGCAGAGAAATGGCAGCTCAGTCCTGCGGCAGGAAAATGAAGGAAGCAGAGCATAAGGGATGGGGGGCACCTAGACCCAGGCTCTAGACCCCAAGGGTGGCAACATGCCCCATTCAGCAGGCTCCCCTTTTCCTGGCATCGCAGTGCATGTCCACCTGCCACTTGATGAAACACAAACCAAGAACCTCCTGGTGGGGGCAGGTTGTGAGATGTCATCTTCCCTGCAACCCTCCCCTCTGAAGGTCATCTTTGGCCTCTGTGCAATGTGTCCCTTCTCTGTCAGAAAGGAGAGGAAGGTGTCGGGGTAGAATTCAGGGAAGAGACTCATTCTAGAAAGATCCCCAGAGAGTAAGATGCTGCTATGCCATGCTTGCAGCTACCGCTACCGTATAGCCAGAGAAGCAGGTAAGGCGCTCTCTAACCTAAATCTCCCTTGCTGTGTATCTGGCACACACACGCGTGCGCACACACACACACGTGCGTGTTTGCTCATACTCAGGTCCGTGCTGCACCCACAATGACCGTTGGCTAAGGAGGTCACTGCCAGATTCCGCATTGCCAGGCCCTCCCGGCACATCTGGGTTTCCCTGTGTCAACAGGAACAGATTTCAGAGCTCACTGGCCTGTTGCCATGGAAACATCCAGGCTTCTAGAACTCTGGGCACAGGGCCTGCCCCCTGTGGTGCAGGGGAGGAGAGGAGAGAGGGAGGGTGACAGAGAGGATGGGTGAAAGGATCTGTGGAGGAGGGTGGCTAGCGAGGCGTGTCTGTGTCTAGGTGACCCCTTGCTGTCTCCTCATTCCCTGGGACCACCTGTCCTCTCCTCTCTGCCTTAGTAGATCTCTCCAGGCCAAGGGAACGGAAAAGAGCTGTCAGAAGAGAGGTGCGTGGAGGGAGCTATGAGGAAGGTACTAGGTCACTCTCTAGGCCTCCAGGGGGATTGGGCTGGGGGTTAGGGCTGGGGTCTGTGTTCTGCACGCAGGCTTCCTTGGGGACACTGAGCAGCCCTCCAGAACGGAAGTTCCTGGCTGTAATGGCCTCGGGCCTAGAGCTGCTTCGGCTTCCCGCCCCCCTTTCTTGTGAGTGCCCCACACCCCGAGAACCAGCTTAAAATGGGATTTCCAGGCCGTGACGTCAGAGGAAAGCCAGCAGCTCCATCCAGCCGGTGCCAGCTCTCCCTCCTCAGCAGAACCCAGCCGAGCTTTGCTCCGCCTGGAAGAGGAGAGGGCAGGGGCGGGGGAGGGGCTTCGGCGGCTCCGGGCCACCGTCCCCATTATCTGTGGCATCCAAGATGATAGACGCTGTCTCCATGCCAAGAGCGCCTGTTGGGGAAAAACAATAAAATCAAACAAACAAAACCTGCTGGCTTCCTTGCTCCTTTACATCCTGCCAGTACATCATCATCTCCCTTCTAAATTCCCCCAGATCGCTCTTCTCTGAGCTGGCTCAGACCTGTCCGGAGGAGGAGAGCACCTCAAGTCCTTAGAGACAGCGCTTCTGTTTGGGTCTCAGGGAGAGTACGCCCCATATCTAGGCTGGAGGCAAGGAAGGCGAGAGGAATGCCTGCAAGGAGAGAAAAATCCACTAGGTGGCGCAGCTTCCTCCCAATGTGGGATTCCTGGGCTCCGCCCGGGCAGAGGACAGCCCTCTCCCGCCGCGCGTCTGCTCAATCGGTGAGCAGCGCGCCTCCTTCTCCACCTTGGAGGTTCCTGCAGAAAGCATCCCCGAGGATAAGCAGGGCAGGTGTGATTTCGCAAGCAGTGTGTCCCTAAGCCTGGCCTGTGTGCACACCCCTTCCCACTCCCCGCAGGAGATGGTCAGATCGAGAAGGATTAGGCACTTTCTTCTCAATAGGGAAATTGTCAGGCTGACCCTGGGAGGGCCCTGTGGCCCATGGGACGCACCCTGGGCTTCTGAGATGGCATCTAGGGAAGCTGCTGGAGCTTATTTCAGAATCAGGAGGGGAGAGAAAGCCTTGGGGCAACCAGGTGAGATTTAGCTTAGAGAGTGCCTATCCTGCTTCCCTGGCCATATGGTAGCTGCAATCATGGGACTGGAGCTTGTTTATCCAGTCTAGCCCCTACCTGGAGTCAGGAGGGGAGAGGAGAGGGACTCTTGAGGTAGCAAGGGCCAGGGAACTGGGGAGGCAGAGCTAGCCAAAGCCACCCTAGGCCTGAGGCCATTTCAGCCAGAGACTTCAAGTCTGGAGGGCCGCTCAGTATAACTAAGCTCCGGGCCACCGTCCCCATTATCTGTGGCATCCAAGATGATAGACGCTGTCTCCATGCCAAGAGCGCCTGTTGGGGAAAAACAATAAAATCAAACAAACAAAACCTGCTGGCTTCCTTGCTCCTTTACATCCTGCCAGTACATCATCATCTCCCTTCTAAATTCCCCCAGATCGCTCTTCTCTGAGCTGGCTCAGACCTGTCCGGAGGAGGAGAGCACCTCAAGTCCTTAGAGACAGCGCTTCTGTTTGGGTCTCAGGGAGAGTACGCCCCATATCTAGGCTGGAGGCAAGGAAGGCGAGAGGAATGCCTGCAAGGAGAGAAAAATCCACTAGGTGGCGCAGCTTCCTCCCAATGTGGGATTCCTGGGCTCCGCCCGGGCAGAGGACAGCCCTCTCCCGCCGCGCGTCTGCTCAATCGGTGAGCAGCGCGCCTCCTTCTCCACCTTGGAGGTTCCTGCAGAAAGCATCCCCGAGGATAAGCAGGGCAGGTGTGATTTCGCAAGCAGTGTGTCCCTAAGCCTGGCCTGTGTGCACACCCCTTCCCACTCCCCGCAGGAGATGGTCAGATCGAGAAGGATTAGGCACTTTCTTCTCAATAGGGAAATTGTCAGGCTGACCCTGGGAGGGCCCTGTGGCCCATGGGACGCACCCTGGGCTTCTGAGATGGCATCTAGGGAAGCTGCTGGAGCTTATTTCAGAATCAGGAGGGGAGAGAAAGCCTTGGGGCAACCAGGTGAGATTTAGCTTAGAGAGTGCCTATCCTGCTTCCCTGGCCATATGGTAGCTGCAATCATGGGACTGGAGCTTGTTTATCCAGTCTAGCCCCTACCTGGAGTCAGGAGGGGAGAGGAGAGGGACTCTTGAGGTAGCAAGGGCCAGGGAACTGGGGAGGCAGAGCTAGCCAAAGCCACCCTAGGCCTGAGGCCATTTCAGCCAGAGACTTCAAGTCTGGAGGGCCGCTCAGTATAACTAAGGTGGCCTCCACACAACGCTGTACCCATGGATTAGGAACACAGGGGCCACAGGCAGATGCAGTCAAAGAAGGGGAGCTCGCACAGCTCCCAGCCCTGGGTATAATTTCCCTGAGGCCACGGTGGCAGTTAGAGTCCTGTCCAAGGTTTCCCTGCCTCCTGTCCCTTCCTTTGTTTTCTTTCTTTTTTAAAGAATCATGTATTTAGTTTTTATATATTTATTAATTTATTTTTATTTGACAGAGAGAGAGGGTAAGTGAGAAAGCAAGCCACCAGGTCTGGCACTTGAACCGTGGTTGGCCATGTGGGTGTGTCCAGCACCATAAACACCATGCCACCTGCTGGTCCCCTGTTTTCATCTGGGGTACAACGGAGTTGAAAGTGGAGACAGAGGGAGCAGCAAGTGGTGTGGTGGTTAAGGCGCTGGATTCCCATATCACCAGCTATGCACTTCAAATCCCAGACCTGGCAGCTTGAAAATCATGCTGGGCACATATGTGTGTGCGCCCAAAATCCTGAGAGGAGAATAGAAAAGGGACTGTGGCCATCCTCCCTGGTGTGTGATTTCTCACTTTCCCTCTCTCTCTGTCTCTCTTCAGCAAGCACATGCGCCTTATGACAAAAACCTGGGTGCATGTGCATATGTGCCCAGAATCCCCAGGGGAGAATGGAGAAGGGATTGCAGCATGGCCATCTCCCCTGGGGATGATTTCTTACTTTCTGTCTATCTGTCTGTCTCTCACTCTCTCTGTCTCTCTCTGGTGAGTGCACACGCCCATAGCAAATTTTTTAAAAAGAAAAGAAAAAAAGAAAGGAGCAAGTCTAAAGACATACTGTAGGGGCAGGCAGGTGGCATGGTAGTTAAGGGCACTGGACTCCCACATGGCCGACTGCAGTTCAAGTCTCGGACCTGGCAGCTTGCTTTCTCACTTTTCCTCACTCTCTCTCTGTCTCTCTCTGGTCAAATTATAAATAAATAAAGTTAAATAAAATAATTCTTAAAACAAACAAACAAAAAATCCCTGCTGTATGGGTAACACATTCTAGATTGCTAAGCAACTTGAAATGGTGATATTTCAGACATATAAGGTTAAAAAAAAAAGGGGGGGGAGACATAGTCCCTAGTCTGGAATCCCAACGTATTTATTTTTTTAGAATTATTTTTTTAAAGAATTATTTTATTTAACTTTATTTGTTATTATCATTATTATTTTCCAATTTGATCAGAGAGAGACAGAGACAGAGAGGAAGTGAGAAAGCAAGCCACCAGGTCCAAGACTTGAACCTTGGTCAGCCATGTGGGAGTCCAGCGACTTTAACCACCATGCCACTTGCTGGCCCCTAGAATTATTTTATTTTAACTTTATTTATTTTTAACTTGACCAGAGAGGGATAGAGCAAGAGAGCAAGAGACAGTGAGATAGAAAGAAGGAAAGTTAGAAAGCAAGCCGCCAGGTCTGGGACTTGAACTGTGGGCAGCCATGTGGGAGTCCAGCACCCTTAACCACCACGCCCCCTGCCAGCCCCTCCAACGTATTCTTTTTTTTTTTTTTTTTTGGAGAGGTTTTTTTTCGCTATAGGGCGCGTGCGTTCGCCAGACAGACAGAGAGAGACATAGAGACAGAAAGCAAGAAATTACCCTCCAGAGGGGATGGCCATGCCGCAATCCCTTCTCTTCCATCCTCCTCTCGGGATCTTGGGCACGCACGCACACGTGCCCGGCGTGAGTTTTAAACCACTGGGTCCAGGACGCGAACCGTGGTCGACTACATGGGAGTCCAGCGACATAGCCATTATGCTAACTGCTGGTTCCCCCTCCAATGTATTCTTAAGGAACTGGACTGGGGCTCTTCAGTGGCTTACCTTTCCCTGACCCCGTTCCCTAGCTGACCCCAGCAGCCCTGTATCCCCTATGAATTACCCTCTCCTTTTGTCCCAGCCAGATGAGTGATCAATAAATAATGCTGCTTGAAATATTGATGGCCAGTTTTACACCAGGATCCCTCAGCTGTGCCTGTCATTTGGGAACTCAAGTGCCCAAAGGGAAATGCACGGCCCCCCAGACAGCTCTTTCCTGTCTTAGCCAACAGTCTTTCTTCTTTTTCTTCCTTTCTGTTTTTGTTTGTTGGTTGGTTTGTTTTCAGTTTTTGCTATAGGCCTCTATGCTGCTGGAGAGAGACAAAGATAGAGACAGGGAGTGAGAAAGTGCTCCCACCTGGGGGGTGGGGAGATGGCCATGCCACAGTCTCTTCTCGTCCATTCTCCTCTCGGGATTTCTCAAGCCACCTGGTCCAGGTCTCAAACTGCACTGTAGGCCATGTGGGATCAAGCATCTTAACCCTCATGCCATGGATTGGCCCCAGAGGATCTTTCTTTGCTAAGATTTCAACCTGTTCCTACTTCAGCCAGAATCATGATTCAGTCCCATCTCTAAGAGGAAGCACCCCCCAGAGATCAACTCAACTAACCACCTGGAAAGGACAGGATTAAGTTAAATCAAACAGGAATGCTTCCTAATAACCCTGGCTTCCGTGATGTGATAGAGATTCCATGGCCATCTTGGACCCACCAGGTCAAGTCTCTGAGTGGCTAACTCAAGAAACCGCAGCCTCCTTGGAACAGCAGATGACATAAGGGTTACGTTGCTAGGCTCCCACATGGTCGACCATGGTTTGAGACCTGGACCCAGCAGCTTAAACTCATGCCAGGCATGTGTGCATGCATGTCCAAGATCCCCAAGAGGAGAATGGAGGAGAAAGGATTGCAGTGTGGCTATCCCCCCTTTGCGAGGGGTGATTTCTCTCTTTCTGTCTCTGTCCCTCTCTGGCTAGCTCATATGCCCTATAGCAAAAATTTCTAAAGAGAGAGAGAGACTGCAGCCTCCTTGCCCCCACCTCCCCACCCCCCTTGCACTATTTACAGCCTGAGCAGAATTCACTCACATGCTCCTGGACTTTTCTGGCCCAGGTCACTCTCCTCTGTGTTCCTGGAAGGAGAAGAAAGGGGAGGTGGAGTATAGGAAGCAGTGGCAGATCTTGAGCCCTCTTGAGCCCAACTCCCCCAGTACCAGCTCCTTGCTTTGCAGAGCCATGCCCTCTGAAATTTTTTTTTAGACCATTTATTTATTTTTGAGAGGTTTGTGCCTTGGTATGTGTGCTTGCCAGAGAGAGACAGAGACAGTGAGAGGGAAAGTGAGAAATCACCCCCAGGGGGTATGCCCATGCCACAATCCCTTCTTCATTCTTCTCTCATAATTTTGGGCACACACCCGGAATAAGTTTTAAGCCTCTGGTCTGGAACTTGAACCATGGTCGACTATGTGGGAGTCTAGTACCTTAACCACTATGCCACCTGCTAGCCCTGCCCACTGAAATCTTCCCGGGTGCAATTCCTTCTGCTCAAAGCATCCAGTTCTGCTCCACCAGGTCAGCTCAAGGGATGACTGACCCCCACCTACCCCCTCCAGGGCCCTGCAACATTGCTCCTTCCCCGCTGACAGCACACACACCACCCTGTCTGGGCATCGCCTGTTTCTGAGCCTGTTTCCCCTACAAGACTGAAAGCTGGGCGTGGGCAGTGGGTCCAGCTGGTACACCACTGTTTGCCTAGCATCCAGCATGGGTCTGGCACACAGTGATGAGCACTCAGCACATTTTTGTGGCATGTTCAAATGATGCCCCTGCAGGATTCTTCCACTCCTAGAAAAACTCCACCTCCAAACCTCATCTTTCTGCTCAGCTGTCTGCCTGCACCTGAGAGTGGTCTAAGCTAACAAGAGCAGCCCAGATCAGGCCCCCTCACTCAGGTCCTCAGCGTGTACCAGGCTCACTCTTCTTGGCCACCCTTCCCCCTCACACAGATGGGAGTCAGCTTTCCAGCCACATTCAGTTCTCACTTTAATTCAAATGCTAAATTAGGAAGAAAAGCAGCTTCACACTCCAGATTTAGCCTGGGAGAGAAAAATGAGACAGCCTGGTTGTTGCTGGGGAAAGGAGAAAGTTAGGTCTGGGGTGGAGAGGGTGGCAAAGCACCTCAAACCCAAGAGAGGACTAAGAAACCTCCACCACCCAGCTCCTAAAAATAAACCATCCAGAGCTCTGGCCACAGAGTAACCCTAAAGCCTCTTTCCTACACCAGAGCAGCCATTCTGGGCACTACCACAGTGTGGGGGAACCAGATTAGTAGGAGCAGAGGAGTCTTGGTATCAGAACTACCCAGGGAGGGCCAGCAAGTGGCATGGTTAAGGTACTGGACTCCCACATGGTTGGCCACAGTTCAAGTCCTAGAACTGGCAGCTTGCTTTCTCACTTTCCCTTTCTCTATTTATTCATAAATAAAATAATTCTTAGGACCAACAGTTAGCATAATGGCTAGCTATGTTGCTGAACTCCCATGTAGTCGACTGCGGTTTGAGTCCTGGACCCGGTGGCTTAAACTCACCCCAGACGCCTGTGTGTGCGTCCCCAAGATCCCGAGAGGAGAATGGAGGAGAAGGGATTGGGGCATGGCCATCCCTTCTGGAGGGTGAATTTTTGCTTTCTATCTCTCTGTCTCTCTCTGTCTTTCTGGCAAGCACACGTGCCCTATAGCAAAAATTTTAAAAATTTAAAAATAAATAAAAATAAATAAAATAATTCTTATTAAAAAAAAACTATCCAGCGGAAGATACTGCTGCTTTAGTCACCAATAGTAAGAAACCAAGAATTACATATTTAATCTTATTTATTCTTATTATTTAAAATAATTATTTATTTAATTTCATTTATTCATTCGTTTATTTTATTTTTAAAAAAAAATAATTAATTATTTATTTATTTCCATTTGTTATTGTTATTTTTTTCTTTATTTGACGAGAGAGAGAGAGAAAGGGAAAGTGAGAAAGTAAGCCACCAGATCCAGGACTTGAACCATGGTTGGCCATGTAGGAATCCAGCGCCCTTATCCACCACACCACCTGCTGGCCCCCATTCGCTTATTTTAATTTGACCAGAGAGAGATACGCAGAGAGAGAGAGAGAGAGAGAGGGAAAGTGAGAAAACAAGCCACCAGGTCCAGTACTCAAACCGCAGTTGGCCATGTGGGAGTGTACAATGCCTTAACCACCACACCACTTGCTGGTACCCTACTATTATTATTTTTTAACTAGGTACGGAGCAAGTGTGCTCACCAAAGAGAGAGACAGATTTGGTGGCTTAAAAATTCACGCCAGGTGCGTGTGCATGCATGCCCAAGATCCTGAGAAGAGAATAGAGGAGAAGCAAGGGATTGCGGCGTGGCCATTCTCCCTGGGGGGTGATTTCTCCCTTTCTGTCTCCCTGTCTCTCTCTGTCTCTCTGGTGAGCACATGTGCCCTGTAGCAATAAATAAATAAATATTTAAACAAAATGTTAAAAAAGAATTATTTATTTAATCTTATATACTATTTTTATTATTATTTTAAATTTGACCAGAGAGAAACAGCAAGAGAAAGGGAAAGTAAGAAAGCAAGCAAGCCGCCAGGTCCAGGACTCAAACCGCAGTCAGCCATGCAGGAGTCCAGCGCCTTTAACCACCATACCACTTGCCAGCCTCAAAACCTATGTTCTTATCCAACTTTAATCCATCCTCCTTGGGATAGAAATAGGTCATTACCTCTAGATGGTGAATTAAAACTGAATCCATAGAGACTTGCACGCTAATGTTCTGACAGTATTATTCACAATAACCAAACATAGAAACAACTCTTTTTCCATTAATCGATGAATAGGGACACAAAAGGTGGTATATACATATAACAGAGTATTATGCAGCTTGGAAAAGTGATTTTGATACATAACAGAACCATGAAAACATTATGCAAATGAAACTAATCAAATACAAAAGGCCAGATACTAGAGGTCAACAGGTGGCAAGGAGGTTAAGATGCTATAGCAAATTAAAACAAAACGGGCTCTGGCAGGTGGATGGTGATTGGGGCACTGGATTCCCACGTGGCTGACCACAGATTGGAGTCCTGGACCTGGCAGCTTGCTTTCTCATTTTCTCTCTCTCTCTCTAGTTATTAAAAAAAAATAATAAATAAATAAAAGTAAATATTTAAAACAAAAACAGAGAACTTGATTAATAGTTACTTTTATTGTGGTAAAATATACATGAAATTTACCATTTTACCATTTTTATTTTATTTTATTTTTTAAAAGAATGATTTTACTTAACTTTATTTATTCATTTACTTACTAACTTAAATTTGACCAGAGAGGGATAGAATGAGAGAGAGGGAAAGTGAGAAAGCAAGCTGCCAGGTCCGGGACTCAGACCGCGATCAGCCATGTGGGAGTCCAGCATCCTTAACCACCACACCACCTGCCAGTCCCATCATTTGAACATTTTTAAATGGCTACCTTCAGTGGCATTAAGTATATTCACAATGTTATGTAACTATCACTGCTATCTATTTTAAGAACTTCTTCCTCATCCTAAACAGAAACTGAACCCATTAAAGCAATAACCCCCTGTGTACCCCCATCCTCCTGCTGTGAATCTGACTACTTTAGGTACCCTGTATAGGTGCAATCATATTATATCTGGCTTTTTTCCCCCTCCTAGATTTTGCTACAGGGCATGTACACTCGTCATAGAGAAAGACAAAGAGAGGGAAAGTGAAAATTCATCCCCCAGGGGAAATGGCCATGCTGTAACCACTTCTCCTCCATTCTTCTACCAGGATTTTGGGCACGTGTGTACATGCACCTGATGTGTTTTTCAAGTCTTTGAGTCCGGACCTTGAACCACAATTTCAGCCATGTTGGATCCAGCCACCTTAGCCGCCACACCACTGGCTGGGCTGGGAAGAGGTCCTTTTATCTAGCCTCCCAGCCACCCAGATGCCACTGAATCAAGGGAAAGCGATGCTCCTTTGGACTGAGCTGTCTGTCAGTATATCTGGATGTCAACTTTTCTCTCTTTCTGCCTCTGAGTGGGAGGCCCTGGGGAAGCCCCTGAGATCACTGGTGCCGAGGCAACCAAACCCCTCTCTTAGACCGTGGCATGGCTGCCTGCTAGTCTCACCACCTGCTCTGCCCCGCCCAGCCTCTTGCCGTTATTTCTAAATGGCAGGTTGTCTCTCTGACCGCCTAGGAAGCAGCTCAGCAGGCAGAAGCACACTCACTGTGCTTCCCCCACGAGAGCACGTGCTGCCTAACCACTCCTCCGCTGTCTGTCTCCCCCTCCAGGCTGGGAGTTAGAAAGGGGGAAACCGCCCTTACTTCTCTTTGTATCTTTAATGCCCAGAAGAGAAATGATGTTTGATAAACAATTGTTGAATGAATGAAATGAAATGATCTGTTCACGTGTCTGTATCCCCTATCCAACTTGACTCCAAAAACCCCTGCAGAATTAAAGCTTTGTCTGATTCACTTTGGGACCCCAGGGAACAGTTTTTGGTATGAGCTGGGGTTTGGCCAGAGGGTTCTGAAGCCAAGCTGCCTGGATTGGAATCCTGGCTCCACTGTTACCCAGCTCTGTGACCGTAAGCAAGCCACCTGCCCTCTCTAAGCGGGCTTCCTCATCAGTTAAATGGGGGTGACAATGTTATCTTCCTCACTGGGCACTGCAAGGACAAATGTCTGTCAAGTGTTTAGCACAGAGCCTGTCACGGTAAGCGTGTGTTTTTTTTGTTTTTTTTTTTGTTTGTTTGTTTTTTGGGGGAGGGCAGGAGCTTAAGGAAAACCAGGAAACAAGCGCCACAAATACTATTATAATTGTTTTTCCTTCATCCTGGTATGTGGGGAGGGGAGACCAGTGCCTGAGTGGGGTAGCCCCAGGGGCTGCCTTCCCCCTCCCTCTTCCCCCTCACACCAGGTCCTCAGAGTGCAAGCTCACCCACCAAGAAGATGAACAGCCCCAGCACTGGGCGGTAGTGAGGGGCCAGAAATAACCACCGTTGCTATTCCTGCCTTTCTGGGCTGGATGGAAATGCTGCCTTTCTAATCTAAAGGCTGCTCTCGACTTCCTGCACATCAGTGGGTTCTTATGTAACGCTCCCCTCCCTCTCCTGCCCAACAAGCTTCCAGAGATTTCTGCAACCAGCTGGCTTTGTTGCACATTCAGCTGGGGATGGGGAGAGCAGAGAAATCACCACAGGCTGGGTGGTCCTCTGAGCTCATGGTCCTGCCAGCCTCAGACCTGGGAGAGGGGCTGCCAAGCACAGGACAGGGGAATTGCCCCCTCCCAAGACATCCAGCCTCTTCTGCATCTGCAGGGCATTCTGAGACAGAGAAAGCTGCCTAAATGTCCACCTACCTCCACCCACACCCTACTCCTTTTACGGACCCCCTCAAGGACAGACTGTGCCACCTCCCCAAGTGATTATGCCCAGTGTCTTCCACTATAGGCCTAACCTACCTCTGTCTGAAGCAACACTCCTCAGGCAAACTCTGAAGACAGCAGCCCAGACCCCATGTCTTAGAGGCGAACCCTGCCACGTGGGGCCCGATCTTCCATGGTCTCTTCCCTGCAGCCCTGGATCCTGTCTGGAACAGGCCAGGCAGCCTCTTCAGAACCCTCTTTGAGATACATCTGCCTCAGGCCTTGGGGTCACTCTGCAAGGCCCTCCCGCCCCTCTGCCAGGACTCGGTTACTCTCTGGCATCTGCAATTGGAGTAGCTGCGGTGGTCGATGGCCTCACACAGCACTCTGGGATGACTCTCATCGCCTGTTTTCCCCGGTCACCTCACTTCTCCCCACCATCTCAGTGCACTTTCTGTCCCAACCCATGCCTAGTCTAGTCAGGTTTGTTCTCACCTCTCAAGGCCTTCCCTGGGGTGGGAGCAGAACTACCCCCAGACCCATTCAAGGCCAAGTCCTGCAGGTTTCCGGTGGAAGCCATCAGCCATCGGAAAGTGTGACAGGCACCTCAGGCAGAACCCAAGAGACAGTCACTTCCTGAGCCCAGGCAGCCACAACTGTGGCAAACCACGGCCTGAGCAGCACATGTGGGTGCTGACGTAGCTGGGGAAGAGGAAATGGCAATGGAAAAAGGGGCTTGTTTTCCTCCGAGATGCAACCTGCTCAATCCTGGGTCGGTTTTCCGAGGCAGGGTGGTCCCGCAGGCTTTCTCCTGGAGCCTCAGTTGCCATGGGCAGGCTCAGTTCTCCCACCTCTGATACCCCTCCACCCTCGATTGCAAGAGAAGTCTGAACACAGACAGCAGCTCTGACCTGCACACCCTCTAAGGGCCTCTCATCTTTCCCAGGACTTCTGGTAGCAGTCAGGCAAGGTCTGAGAACCCCGGGTCACTCCTAAGCACCCCTGAGGCCCACGCAGCCACAGGTCAGGATGTGGGAGTGGCTCAGACAGAGCCTTCCTTACCTCCCACCTGGTTCCCTGCAAGACCCAGGCAAGTCGTTCCACCTGGGTTGTTGGTCACAGGTTGGGTGCTCACAAGTCTAAATGGAGATGATTCGGTTCTTTGGGAGGGGCCAATTCTTTAAAAAATATTTATTTATTTATTTATTTATTTTAATTTGACTGGAGAGGAACAGAGCAAGCAAGAGAGAGAGAGAAAGTGAGAAAACAAGGTGCCGGTTCCGGGACTCGAATCACAGTTGGCCATGTGAGAGTCCAGTGCCCTTAACCACCACATCACCTGCTGGCCACAAGGGCCCAGTTCTTTTTATCATGTTTTCTCCCTTTCTTATCTCCTCAGTCACAGTAGACAGAAATGTGCCATTGGCCAAAAGAGAGGCCAGAGGGGAATGGGAATGACTGTGAAGCCCCTAGCCCTGCTGTCAGTCAGCAGTACAGCCCTATCCAGGGAGGTGACTATTAGGTGCTCCTCATTGGCTGCCCCATGAGAGAGTGCTAAGGTCTGGGCAGTGTGTGGGACTGTGAGCTCAGCTCCTCTCAGTGTTCCTGGAGGAATCTGCCTTGTAGGGGCTTACACATGGAGGATGGGGAGAGTGGACAAGGCCATCCTCTCCGTATGACCGAAGAGGGCAAAACAGGGAGAATGAGGGACACTCCCCCTGTCCACACCTTAGACTGATCCTAGTTGGACTGCTTTGCCTCCTGTCCCCCTTCCTGGAATGCTCTGTCCACTACACTATGCAGGGTTAGTTTTCTCTTGTTTATATTTCCGCTTTAATGTCACTTCCTTTGAGACTCTCTCCTTCACCTGCCATAGTAGTTAAGTTACATTTAACATAATCTGAAATTTTCATGTGAGTAACTTTTTTTTTAGAGAGAGATTTTTGCTACAGGGTGTGTACACTTGCCAGAGAGACAGAAAGTGGGAATCACCTCCCAGGGTGGTTGATGGCCATGTAGCAATCCCCTCTCCTCCAGACTCATCTTGGGATTTTGGGCACGCATGCAGATGGGCCCAGTGTGAGTTTCAAGCCTCTGGGTCTGGAACTCAAATTTTTTTTTCTTTTTTTTATTAATTTATTCATTTTCTTGGAACTCAAATTTCAGTGGGCCATGTGGAGCTCCAGCACCTTAGCCACTGTGCCACCTATTGGCCTCTTGAATAACTGTTCTGCCTATCCCACTGAATGGTAGTTTCTAGGAGGGCAAAACCTTGAGGCAGAATCCCTGACTTAGCATTCTGCCTGATATAGATAGTGGCCAAGAAAGCTTTTTTAAAAAAATAAAATAAGTGTTTGGGGGAATAGCAGATTGTGTAATGGCTACATTGCTGGACTCCCATGTAGTTGATCATGGTTTGAATTCCAGACCCGGTGACTTAAACTCACACTGGGCATGTGTGCATGCGAACCCAAGATCCCGAGAAGAGAATGGAGGAGAAGGGATTGTGGCATGGCTATCCTCCCTGGAAGGTGATTTCTTGCTTTCTGTCTCTTTGTCTTTCTGGTGAACACACGCACCCTATAGCAAAAACCTCTCAAAAAAAAAAAAAAATACAATTTTAAAAATTAAAAAATAAGTGTTTGGGATCATCAGGTGGTGTGGTGGTTTAAGCACTGGACACTCCAACATGGCTGAACTTGGCTCAATGCCTGGACCTGGTGGCTTGCTTTCTCACTTCCTCTCTCTTTCTCTCTGTCTCTCTCTGATCAAACTGGAAAATAATAATGATAATAATAAATAAAGTTAAATAAAATAATTCTAAAAAAAGAAAACATAAAAAAAGAAAAAAATGAGGCTGAAAAGGGGCTGGAGTAAAGAGGCTCATAGTGGGAAGCAACAGAAGATAAGGTGAAATAAACATGTTTTTAAAAAATATTTAATTTTATTTATTCATTCATTTATTTTAATTTGACAAGTGGGGGCCACTTGCTGGCCCCCAGCCTCGTTTTCTTCTAACAGCCACACAGGAGCCCTTCTGGTTACCCCACCCCTTACCCCAACCTGAAACAGCTTCCCCACAACAAAGTCTGGCCCTTCTCCTCCAAAATCTCTTCATCATCCCTGCCCTTCTCCCAGTCCCCTGGAATTTCTCTCCCTCTTCTTGTCCTTTATGTCTCTTAGCATCACTGATTTCTGGAGATCATTGGGGCTACTTCCTTTCTATTCGATTTTTTTTTGGGGGGGGGATTATTTTATTTGGGGCCAGCAGGTGGTGTGGTGGTTAAGGGCATTGGACTCCCACATGGCTGACCACGGTTCGAGTACCAGATCTAGCGGCTTGCTTTCTCACTTTCTTTCTCTCCTCTCTCTCTGGTCAAATTTTTAAAAATGAATAAAATAAAGAAACTCGAACCACAGTCGGCCACACGGGAGTCTAGCACCCTTAACCACCATGCCACCTGTCGGCCTCCCTATTCTTAATCTCTTATAATATAGAAACCAGCCTCCGTTCTCCACAATCGTAAGCTCCTGAGAGATCCATGCCACAGGACTTATTCCCAGTCAGTAAATCTGCAGAGAAAGTTGTTGATAATGGGCATATTAATCAGAACTTGTTGAGTTGTAACAAAATCTGAACTGAGGCTATTTTGCTAAATAAAAAAGGAATTCATCAGCCTGCATAACTGAGAGTCCAGACTGAACCCGAGACTGACCCTCTCTATGTATATCTCTTCTCCCCGACTTCCACTGCATTGGCTTCATTCAGGCAGCCTCTCTAGTCCTGAGGGAAAGATGGCCTCTACGCTTACATTCTATTGGCTGAGCACCAGCAGGCAAAAAGAGTTCTTTTCCAAGAGATCCAGAAAAATGTCCTAGAAGTGATTCTCAACGGCTTGGTTCAGTTCAGGCGCTCATCCTGCTTCAATCCCTATGGCTGGGGAGTTGGAATGCTCTTAGACTGCAGCATCTTGGCTGATGGCCAGGAGAGGGTTACATCCTACTTAGATCTAGGGTTATCTTCCTCCAGCCACGTGGACTGGAGTGGTTCCCCCAAAGGAAACTGCGGTCTGAGGAACAGTTATGAAAAGAAAGGGGAATTCATGTTGGGCATGCAAAACATAAAATCCATAAAAAGGATTTCCAGTGCTAGCTTCAGTAAGAACCTGGAGATATCTTAGATTGGCTTTAGAATCACAGGGGATTCGAATCTGGCCCTGGCCAGGGGAAAAGGATGTTCTCTCTGAGTCTGGGTAGCTCCCAAGGGATAGCATGGGATCCCAGGCTGAGATACTGTTCACTTTGGGCACTTACAAGTTCAAGAAGACCGGTGATTCAGTTGGTCTAGGGTAAAACCTTTCTTTTTTAGAGCTCCATAGGTGTTTGTGCTGCATAGTCAAGGTTGAAAAATTCTGCCCTAGGAAACGATGCTTTACTGCAGTAAGGATTCGGATGAGCGCTTAAGGACAATGTCCCCTGGGTTAGAATTAGAATGTTTTTTTTCCTCTCTGCACAACTTTCAGAAATGGGTGACTGGGGTTTTCATGGAGACTGAGAATGGGTGGGTGGACTGAGGGTGACACTGTGGGTCCAAAGCCCCTGAAAATAATCAACAGCCCGTTTGTTGAATGTCAACTGCAAGGCAGGCATTGTGCTTTGGGTCTTCACAGATGGCAGCCTGAGTAAATGATAGTTTTCACAAATAATTCTCCCAGGCAGAAAAACCACTAATGTGAGACCCACTTTACAGTCGAAGAAAGTGAGATACAAAAACTAGCAGAGTAGCCTGCCAGGAAGGGGCAGAATGGACATTCAGACCGAGGAGCATTATGACTGCAGTCGGCCTGGCCTTCCTGCCTGCAGCTGGACGCCTTAGAGGCGCATCACTCCTTCCCTAAGGGACAACTCCGTAGACTGGGAGTGGGCTTCCTTCCCCCAGCTCTTGGGATGGGGAGCTCAGTGACAAGGGAGTCCTGGCTCATGGCCTGATTCCTTAACTTGATTTTCATAAGAAAATGTGGGGGTGGGGATAGATACAAAGGGATAAAGCTCGGAAGATTACAACCCTCCTCCCTTTAAACCCTCTGTCTCGGATCTCCCGAGGTTATTAGGACCTGCCACCCCCGCCCCCCTTCTCGGTCTCCTCCTTCCACGCATTGTAAGTAGAACCACTGTATGCTATCCATAAATTTTTAACACTAGTGCTCTCAAATTCAGTAAATTTCTTAATACTTCTCAAAAAAACGGAAGTGTTTCCTTAAAGGTTTAGCATGTCTTTGAAGATATAGAGAACCATTGTGTGGGAGAAAATGAAAAGATGACTAGGAAATAACACAATGGAAAATTATCACCATGTCTTCATATTTATTTATTTTTGGAGAGGTTTTTGCTATAGGGTGCATGCACTTGCCAGAAAGACAGAGAGACAGAGAGACAGAAAGCAAGAACTCACCCCTCACCTTCCAGGGGTGATGGCCATGCTGCAATCCCCTCTCCTCCATTCTCCTCTCAGGATCTTGGGTACACACGCACACGCGGATCTGGGACTTGAACCATGATTGACTACATGGTAGTCCAACGACATAGCCATTACGCCAAATGCTAGTCCCCACGTTTTATATTTAAATATCTCT